CTTGGCCCATCCCCGCAGCCTGCGCAGCTCCAGCAGCAAGCTGGCCCAGCTGACCCTGGAGCAGATCCTGGAGCACCTGGACAACCTCCGCCTCAACCTCACCAACACCAAGCAGAACTGTGGGTGCCTCCGGGGCTCGGGGCCGGGGGACGCGGGCTCGGGGCCGCCCTGACCCCGTTCCCACCCCGTTCCCACCCCGCTCCCGCCTCTCTCCCAGTTTTCAGCCAGACCCCGATCCTGCAGGCGCTGCAGCACGTCCAGGCCAGCTGCGACGAGGCGCACAAGATGAAGTGAGACCCCCTCCCTTCCCCTCCTCCTGCTCCCCTGCCCTCGGGGGGACCCCCTGAGCCCCTCTGTGTCCCCCCAGGTTCTCGGACCTCTTCTCCCTGGCCGAGGAGTATGAGGATTCCTCCAGCAAGCCCCCCAAGAGCCGCCGGAAAGCCACGGCGCTGGCCAGCCCCCGCAGCCGCAAGAGCGCCGCGCAGCCCCCCAACAACGAGGAGGAGTCGGGCTCCAGCAGCGCCTCGGTGAGAGACCCCCGAGACCCCCCCGGGCTCCCCAAACCCCCGGGGGGCCCGCGGTGACCCCCCCATCCCCGTCCCTGCAGGAGGAAGAGGACACCAAACCCAAACCGGCCAAGAGGAAAAGGAAAGGCTCCTCCGCCGTGGGCTCGGACAGTGACTGAGGGTGGGGAACCCCCCTGCCTCGGGGACCCCTCCCCACCTCGGGGACCCCTCTCTGCCTCGGGGACCCCTCTCTGCCTCGGGGACCCCTCCCCACCTCGGGGACCCCTCCCCGCCTCGGGGAACCCCCTGGGAGCCCCCCAAACCGGTGCCAGCAAATCCCCGGGCACGGGGCCCCCTCCCCGGCTCCCGCCGCGCCCTTGGGACCCCTCCCCATTTCCACCACGTGGGGAGGGGTCGCGGTGTCGTCCTCCCCCCCGCAGGGGACACAAGCGCAGGGGAGGGGGGGACCCCCACCCCCATTTTCCTTAGAAATGTAAATAAAGGGTGAAATGAGTCGCTGCTGCAGGATGATTTGGGAAGGGGGCAGACGGGGGGTCCCGCCCCCCTCGGGGGCCCTGGGGGGCGTCAGCACCGGTGCCAGCGGGATTTGGGGAGGGGGGTCCTGCTCCCCAGAGCTCCCTCAGCGTTTTTAAGTGTTTTTAAGAAAAGCAGCAATAAAAACCTTCCTGTTTTGTAC